GCAATATTCGTTCACGTCAGTATCACCAATGTTAATTTCGGCTAATGAAAAGCAATATTGTTCAGTCAGTATCACCAATGCTTAATTACGGCTAATGAAAAGCAGTATTGTTCAGTCAGTATCACCAATGTTTAATTCCGGCTAATGAAAAGCAGTATTGTTCACTTATTATCAACAATGTGCGTTAACATACTCATGAATGATACTTTATCTTCTCTGATACACACAACTGTTTGAGCGATTTTTTATACGAGCGAACTAATTTATCTTCTACCGGTGTTTACGACAAATTCGCTCGAAATATTGGAATGCACGTTTTTGTTCTAAAAGCCAAGCTTTGTAAAGTTCAAATGATTTCAGTGGAACTTCGAGGCTGATGATCATGGGTTATCCTTAGAACTACACTCACGATAATGTATTTAAAAAATAATAACCATTACATTTTAGTAAACAAAATATAGTAACACTTATGAACTAAAAACTTTTGAATGAAAGAAAAGATTGTATAATAATACATCAAGAACAATGTATCTGCTATATCCAGTGCCGTCGAGGCCTTTCGCCCAATAACAGGGATCTTCGGACAGCCTGGAGTACAACGGACACAGCAGTCTCTGAACTGAACTTATGGGTTTGGATAATCACAAGTCTTATCATGGTACAAAAAATACTGAAATTTAAAACATTAACGGCAGCAGCTTGTAACATGATTCACTGACTGATTTACTGTCATTTAAGTTAATCATTTAACTACTCAAAGCTCGAGCAGTTGGGCTTTTGGAATGACATTAAAAAAAAAAGATCGTATCTTTTATGAACGGTAAAATGCTAAAAAAGTATTGTTGATAAAATACTATTAAATTTTCGTTCATAAAATGTTATAAGTTTATTGTTCCTAAAGTTCTAGAAAGTTATTTTATCAGATATGGAGCCACAACACATAAATGGCTCTATACGTTAATCTAATTCGTTTCTCCTTAATCTAAAACCGTATGGAAACCTAATTCACTTACTTCCACAAACACAGACACACCAGCGTTAGAATAATGATGACGATGGCCGCTAGTGACGCTCCAATCGCCACACCAAGCACTAAAATCATAAGGTAAATCTTGTTGACATCAAAAATATACTCTTGCACGGATTACTATGAGCAAAAGCTAGGAGAAAAATTACTCACAAAACTAATAAAATCATACATTAAACACACACTATGTTGTCTCTCTTCACGTATAAAACTGAAAAAATCGTACTTGAACACGTTTTATTTTCTTAAAACGTATAAGACTCATAAAAACCACATCTGACCACATGTTTTAATAATATTTAGACACATATTTTTTCAATTATAAAACTGATAAATTTATACTTGGACACTTATGTTTTTTTCTTCACATTCCTCTTAATTATTCCTTCACTGGTCTTCAGAGGTGTGTAAAAATAACATTTCAGACCAAAATGTTGCCTGCCACAAATTACTGTCAAAAAGGCCTTTCGTACAATATAGATATAGCACTTCATATGTATATTTTGTCTGCCACAACTTACTGTCTAAAATACCTTCTGTGAGTCCCGGTGGGACAGTGGTTAGTTTACGGATTTACAATGCTAAAATCCGAGGTTCGATTCCCAATGTGGCTTTGCTTTACAAGAAACAAAGAAAGCCTTTCGTACTACATGTATATAGTGTTTCATATACATATTTCTGACCGCCATAATTTACTTTGTAGAAGGCCTGTCATAATGTTTACATATATTGATCTAAATGTATACTTTTAGTTGCCATAGATCCAACATACGCGATGAATTATAATACTCTTGAACGAAATTACTTCTGGACAGCAATTTATGACAGATACAAAATAGACTTGAAATATTATTTTTACATCATTTCGCTGATTACGAAACTGTTAAGGGCTAATTAATTAAGAAAGATTCAATGAAAACGTATTTGCAACCAAGTTTTATTTTATTTTTGTTAGGCCTAAAAAACCTCAATGTTTCGCCAGCTTAGGGTTTTTTACACCACTCATCTTATATTTAATTTCACTTGTATTCGCTAGGTTTTACTTACGACAAAACTTGTTTGTTATCAATGCTTAATATTTATCTTAATATTTCAATAAAAATAAATAAAAGTTATTACCCAGACAGATGCAGTTTCTAATAATTTATAATAATAAAAATATTGTTTTGAAGTTAATAAAATATAAGCTATTAATTAATGATGAATAATAAGAGGGAAAAGAATAATAATATTGTAAAAAACAACTAACAGAACTCTATATGTTAACTTCAAATTAGAATAATTACAGAGGTTGATGGCGTACAAAAAAACTATCATACGCACGTGTAACTTTTCTTTCTCTTCTACTACCCGGGGATATTTCAAGAGTGGGTTTGTTTTGCAAATGCTTCTTTAACCAAACAAACGTTGTCGTTGTTTGTTTTTTTTTAAACATGAGGCTATAAAAAATTCGTGACAAACTTTCGTCTGTCGTTTATTTATTATAGGCCTAGTTCAAATTTGAAGACCATCTGTAAAACAAACTTGATCAAGATATATGTCAAGAAAACTCAAATGATCTATTAATTGTAAGTTAATTTTGTGAGTTTTTTTCAAAGTAATTCCCAGTCATTTCAATACAATAATTTCCTTGATATTTCATAACTTAATTAGTTTAACTAAATAAAGCACTATTATAAATAACACCTAAAACAACTAACCTTCTCCATCAACGTCACAATACTCTCCAATGTAATTCCCTTTGCATCTAAAAAATACAATACCAACAATGAGTTACAAAAAAGTGTTCATTTCCGAAATTCATCTCATATGTAAGATATTAAAGTAGCAAAATATTGGTGTTTTACTGAAACAGTCAATAATGAAATTTGTATACGTGTGTTTAATAGACGGCCAGTGAATGGCCTTGTGGTTGGTGCGTCAGATTTAAAACCGAGGATCTCGGGTTTGAGATGTGGTGCTCCAAACACGTTTTGCACTTTATGAGTGGCCACTGGTTGACTGCTTGCCTTCCCTTCGAACCGCAATTCAAAAATTGCTTATGGCTGTGCTTCGACCATGGAGGTCTCTGACCTGGCCGTTTGGCTCGTCACATACATAAAGTGTCATTCTGGTGAACAGGTAACAAACAATTTATTTAGATCTGATAGATTTGTTTGTTTACCACAGCTTAGATCGTTACATATATTTTGTACTTGAATTGTTTGTTGTTAATGTAGCATTAAGTGGTTCTTGTAAGACACTCTGTATAAAATAATGTTATCGTGATACATTTTTTTCATTTAAGGACTTAATAATAAAAGACTGACACAAATGGTTTATTTTGACGCAGAGTTTTGATTAAGACAACATATTCACGGAAACACTACATTCATAAAAAAATATTTATTCGAGAAAAAAATAACTGTTTAACGAACTGAGCTGGAAGATCAAATATTCCTGGTGAAAACATGTGAATGTTTTTGTTTTATCAGTATTTTTAAACAAACTGCACTTAAAGAAACCTAAACGTATTTATGAAAGCCACCTATTAAAGCATACATGAGAAGTACGTGCAGTCTGCTCAAAATTACTTTCAAGACACCTACGTAGACTAACGAAACCAATCTATCAACATAAACTTATAAAGTGGGTGCAGTCTGTTTAAAATTACTTTCAAGACACCTACGTAGACTAACGAAACCAATCTATCAACATAAACTTATAAAGTGGGTGCAGTCTGTTTAAAATTACTTTCAAGACACCTACGTAGACTAACGAAACCAATCT